AGAAAACTACCCGATTTATACTATGCATTTGTCGAATGAAATCATCTGACGGTAACAAACTTCTGTACAAATACAAATATGCCTAAAGACGGAATTTGAAATTGGAATTGTCAATATTTTATGTTTTTAATAATTACCTAACCACCGAACACAGCAACCATCAGTCTCCCTTCGGGGATACACTACACAGGAGCTGCTGGTAAAAATGATTTGAATTAGAAATTTGGGTCACAAAGGGTCGTAACTTATAGCTGTGTCACCATTAACACAGATATGACCACATATTTTAGTATATTTATTCAATGGTATATTTAAATCTGTGATATTACGTATATCATGTGTGGCATTACATACAATTTTGTGTGAAAAAGTAACAGCTACATACGCCTGTCTATACGCAACCAACAATCCACATCATTTACGGTGTGAAGTATCTGGAAGCAAGTTGCTCTTAAAAGCAGAGGCGTATCTAAGGTAAGGCAGGCAACGCACGTGCCTTGGGTGGCGTTAAAAAAGGGGCCCCAAAATCGCTAATTATTAAAATTAAAAATCAAAGAATCTCATGGAATGAGTGGTGGCTCGATGAAGCATGCACTTGTTGGTTCGAATACGACACTTTGCGTGTAGTTTATTTTTCTGCTTTAATTATTCCCAACCGACCGATTGCTTCTGTAGTCAGGGATGTCGGAGGAATGAAACACGATGACCATAAAATTCAGTCGAGTTCTATTGCATGACATCTGGAGCTCGCACTGTTTAAATAGCGTGACAGTTCTGTCAATAAACGTCGCTGACACGAAACTCCTAGTCTCCTAGCCCTCTCCCCCCCCCCCTCCATATAGCACACTTCATCCATTGGGCGTATTTTTTTTGTCCATTTTAGTTAAGTTACCTACAGTAAGTTACCTAAGTACAACCAAAGAGCATACGTTATATACTCTTTGGTACAACTCAGTATGTATTATGTACGTTAAATATGTATGTCCATGATACGTACATTTTTAGTGAAAGCGTCATAAATTTAATTTTAATTGGCAGATTAAGTGCACCCTTCGATTCTTACAACGTCTGCCCGCTGCCGAACCACTACCAATCACGTTTTACCATTTTAACGAATACGTGATCGCAGCCATCTTGTGTGTTGATTAATTTCCCGCATTTTATACTGTACCGAAAGTTTGTCAGCATTATAATAGTAAGTATTGAGCAAGAGAATCATTTAGTAACCTAAAGTAGAATGAACTTTTGATACGTAGTACAGTTTTCTATGTGTGTGTGTAGCTGTAGTTCATTGTTTTTATTTAATTTCCCTCAGCAACCCTGAAAGATACATTTATTTCTTTACATTTTTCTTGTTTTCAGATATATCATCAATACCTTCATCGGGCAAACTACAAACAAACTTTAATATTCGGAACGTGTTTCACAGCAATGCTGTATAAACATGTTCTGTCGTAGTAATGTTTATTTGTGTTTTTGAATGTACTTCTGATGTACGTACAATTTATAAAATAATATCTACAGTGTACGTACAATAGTGTACGTACCCTGGACGTAAATAGTGTACGTAGAGTATAGATACAATGTTTTGACAAACGGACTACGTCCATAGTACATCGTACGTGTGTCCATGTAAAGTGTACATTTGTTAAGTTCATGCATTACGTGTTATGTGCGTACATAGTACACCTGTGTGCTATGTGGGCCGTTACTCCAAAAAGAGTGAACGCAAGCACCGGCTGTAATGCCCTTTCCAGGATCATCGAAGCGTCACCTCAGAGTTAGTGCAACTGCCAAAATTGTATCATCTTTTGAGGGGAATTTTTCGAAAGAAAAACTCACGGTCCGTATACTAAACGGTTGCCTCACTTCCATCCAACCAATAAAACGCTCTGCCGTTGTGACGTACTTGAGCCCGCAATAAGCCCCTCCCACACGCAATCCGCATGTACTACATGCATTTGGTAATAATTCTAAAAGCAAAAAAAAAACTTAATTTGGACGTTACCACATTGGCCAGTGCATATGTAGGATCGTCGACGTTTGGTATATGTTTAGGTACTAATAAAATCACCGTTTTACTTATGGAATGAAAGGATTTATATGCATACTTATGCATTCACATGCATAATTATCTTTGTATATAAAATTCGTCTGTACGTGTGTTTGTGACTGAACTCCTCCTATGTGTATTCTTGAGTCGCGAACTTACCTAAAGGAAACAGCAAAAGCACCTTTCAAGTAATATTTTGATCATGAACAGTCTAAAATGAAGCACAAGATTCGTGGGTACACACATATAGTGTACGCTACCAGGTTAATTTATACTTGTAGGTAACCAATAATTAAATATCTTGAAAGAAAATTAACACAATAATAAAAAAAAACGTGGCAAATGAGGGTGAGAGACGCATACAATACACTTGTGCAGTGCGCACGATGGCAATTGTACAAACGTCAAGCTTACAGAAACGTCAGAAACTCTACGACAGGTGGCTAGAGTACGTCATAAGCGGTAAGTTCCCCTCTCCCTCCGCGCCTACAAATTGCAGCGAGTGAGGCAACCGTTTACTATACGGACCGTGGAAAAGCTTGCTATGCGTCTTTAGGTCTTACTCGAGAACGAAAAGAGACAGCGATGTCAAACCTTCGTCAATCGATTTCTATGAGTTCAAGGATCAATGCTAGTGAATATAAGCCGGATTAAAAGTCGTGTTTCCGAATGCGAGCTGTTTTAAATATGTTGAAGCGGTGCACAAGAAATTCCCCTACTGAAAATCGTATGCGATTCTTCGTATCTTGTTTTATGTTAAGGGGGCGCAATTTTAATGCTTGCCCTAGGCACCATTTGGGCATGCTACCCCACAGCTTAAGGACCCTACAGACGGACCTTTTTGTAGGCGTTTACGTTCATGTATTCAAAAACGCACGTACAGCAAGATACGAAGAATCGCATGCGATTTTCAGTAGAGCAATTGTTTGTCACTCCGCTTGTATTCGGAAACCAGATTTTGATCCGGCTCATATTCAATAGCACTGATCCTTGAACTCGTAGAAATCGATTGGCGAAGGTTTGACATCGCTGTCTCTTTTCGTTTTCGAGTTACACGAGGAACAGGCGGACTAAACCATCAATTAAAGGGATTTTTTTTCTTTCGAAAAATTCCCCTAAAAACGTGCACTACCATTGCCTACAGACACACCTACAATTGCGTGGTAGCAGCGACGTCGGAAGTATGGGGCAGAGGGGGCGAGTCGTCCCCTCAGTTTTTACACAGGGGGGCCGCGCCCCCTCTAAGAATGAGTAGATAAATCGCCCAAAATAACAAATCTTCTACTGCATGTGGATGCAGAAATTACAAAAAGTGTAGAAGTAAAGGATATATTGAAAGAATTTCCCAGAAAAACTGCGGAAAGGCGGAAAATTTTTGGATATATTTAATTTTTTATACTTGCTTTTCTTTACAATGCTCAATAGTGCAATAAATAAGAACAACAGTTTTGTAACTTTTGTATGTTCTAGTTCTTCATTATTTTTTAAATAAAATATTAATGATGTATGGCTATGGTTTTCTTAATCGAGTCAAGTATCTCTGAGTTGCTCAGTAGAAATCCTCCGCCACTTTTTTAAAATTTTTTTTCAAAACTTTTCTTCCAAAAATACATTACTAATTACTTGATTGATTAAATAAATAGGTTTCAGGGTCACTTAAAAAACCCACTACTTTGCATTAATTCGTACACAATTTTGCATGGGAGGGACCTTTCAGACTGCATGGTCGCTGATGTTTGCCCCCCCCCCCCCGCAATGTTCTGCAATTCGACATTATTAAAAAAAGAAATAAATAAATTCAAATTGATATAACGATAAGAAGTTAAAACAGTAATCGTAAATGATTTACAAAAGGCCCATTTCCACTTGCATTCATTTCCCATTTGTAAGGTCCAACTTCTATTACAATGTCGTAAAAGCCGACCACAAATAAGAAAGTTCGAGTTGCATATGCGCAATCCATTTTTGACCTGCTACTTCAATTTCAGTTTATAAGAAAAATCCTACTCTAAAATTTTAGAAGAATTGGTTCACAAATAACGAATGAGGGTCTGGGCATGCGCAACAATTATTGTTTTGCGTGTTGTCAGTCGGATCGATTTGCGCATGCGCAAAAGAAATTTGCTTATTATTTATTATGCTGCAGTTCTGCTATACACTCGTTTTCGTTCTGAGCATTGAGAACAGATATTTTCCTTTTGCATGTACCTTCCTTCGACGCTTCGTTCTCGAGTTATTCGCTTTTGACGTTTGAGAACATTCTTTCAAAATGTGGTAAAAATGTCATAATCCTAAAATCCTATTTTCGAAAGTGGTTAGTAGAGACCAATATTCCATTTAATCCAAGTACAATGTACTTACTGCAAAAAATAATGCCTGCTAAAATCTCGCTTCAAACTAGTAACGCCCCTTGAATATCAAACCCGAAACCTCTCTCTTCGGTCCTGTTTGAAAGAGAAATTACACCAATGCTTTTGTGTTTAGTCGTTGTGCTTTCTTATTTCGTTATCCACGCCTTCACCGAAGGTAAGTTTTGTCTACAAAATATCAGTTTTCCTAATGTAATCGCGTTGTTCTTTCTCTTAAGGAGTTTACTTATAAATTTACCTTTTCAATCGCCGCAATTTTAACTTAAATTACTTTCAGTGTGTTAATCACTACCAGATGCAATCGTTTCCGTTTCCGGTACCGGTTCTTTTCGGTTTCGGTTCTAACCCCTGTCTTGTGGGTAACTGGTGAGAAGAGATCAAATTACTGCTTCGTTTTAACTTACTTTCATCACGAGCTCGTTCTCTAATGTATTTTTTTCTGTGCAATCTTGATAGTTAGGCGTATTTAATCGTTAAGGGAGGGGTCCAAATTTTGAAATCCGAAATTAGGGCCGAAACAGCATATTAAATAGTCCGACTTACCACGTTCAAAATTGGAATTCTAAGTTCAAAAGTGGAAATTCACGTTCAAAATCGGAATTTGTCGTTCGAAGTCGGAACAGTTCCAAAAGTTAGAATTTCCGTTAGGAATTTTTAATTAGAAGTTGTGGGAAGTCAAGATTTCAAGCTCAGATAAACTTGTATGATACGCGTCACAATAATTAACTGTTTGCATTAGATGTAAGGTTCCTTACGCAAGTAGATACCCACCTAAATAATTTATTTTCAAGGATTTCATTTTTAAATCCTGCGACGTTGGTGATGATTCGCAACTCCATATTTGCATTACCTAGATAGTCGACAACTGTATAATAAATCAGAACTTGTGCTCACATTTCGTCTTGTTTAAACTTGTTGCTAAGATGATAGTGATAACCAAAACCTAACTATCATTTTTTGTTATCAAAATGTGTTATTGTCGAAATGAAGACGCACCTGTTTGTTACGTTTTCCATAGTTTTCTTCAAGTCAATTACTAACTGCGACAGTTACAATAAAACAATAGACCTAACATGGCCGTTTAACAGCAAAACTATTAGTTGGGGAGGTGCGCAACGCTTTGAATTTACAAAAAGTAGTGTCGTTGAGAGTCCATGGTAAGATTTTTTTTGGGATATTGGACATTGGGCCGGTTTTTCATGTGTCAGTTAAACTTATCTGACAGATAACTCTTGCTATGCTAACTCTGTCGGATAGAGTTAACGGCGCCATGGAACCCCCGCTCTTAGCGATAAATATTTTCTCAAAGGCTTGCCATGAACGAGTATGCTTCGGCGGAACATGCAGGAACCCACATGGACGCACCATACCATTTTGTTGAAGATGGTTGGAAAGTTGGCCAAATACCTCTTTCGTATTTAACAGCTCCCGGTGTGTAACGTTGAAGATAAAAACCTCTACTAAGCGCTTTTTAGGCTTTAAGATCGATTTATCGCACGAAACCATGGAACACGGCAGTGGGGCCCGATTGGAAGTGCGCCACTTATTGGAGTGGCAGAGGCGTCACGGTCCCATACCGTATCGCTCCATAATGCTAGTATACTTTAATTGGGGTCGCCAATATTACAATAACACGCTAGCGTATTTGGGAGGTGAATCTCCGGCGGAGTACAAATTTCCTGGTATGGTTCCGTAAAAAGGCTATAGGTACCGATTGTCGTTTTAAGGTATCAGCGCAGAAGCGGCTGTTTGGATTAGAGACAGTCGGAAGGTTATAGGAGTCGGAATTGACACTGCCAGCATTGATCCTAATAACAGTACTGTCGCGCATAGAATACTTTTGCCAAATAAAATGTTCAATTTGGAAAATGTCAAAATTCCCGGTCGAGAGCTTCCCGGTATGACAAAATTGATGGATCACAATTTTTGCAGTTACTTACTTTTTCAGCTAGAGGTTTTCGCCTATCCGTGACACCTATGCTTATCGAAGAAGGAACAGGAGCTCCAACGCGTATAATTGCTTACGTGTACTAGATGAATTGCAGCACGTTCCTTTAGCCAGAACGGTTGATCTTATTCGAATAAATATGACGATATTGAATCGATTTTGATTAACATTATTTCCCCTTTGAATAATAAACTCGTAATTCCGACTCTGAAATAAGGTGACTAAGGTAAAATGGTTTTCTTGCATTTAAAGTCACGTTTATGCTTTTTTACAGATTTTGTAAGGATAATCCATGGTCGATCAAAATGTTTCTTTTAATAGTGCAAAGTCATTCGAATGATTGATTCTTATCGAGTGTTTTTATATCCGATTGCCGAGTTTCAGACCTTCGCATTGCCTACGCAATATTTTATATGCCGCCCTATTCATTACACCTTTTATTTGTTTGTTTATGTTGTTATCTATACAGTCTACAGATTAGGCTGAACGCGCCCTTTTGATTTTTCGACTCGTTTAACTTTAAATGTTGACATTGCAGAGCTGTAAGTATAATATAGTGTCCTATTTGTAAAATTTTGCGATCATTCATTAAATCACGTCACGTCAATTATTGTTTATGTTCAATCCCTATCAAATATTTTATTTCTTTAGCTTTTCCAGAACAAAGATCTCTCAGTCTGTCTTTTTTCCCTCTTTTGGTAAGCATTCTTTCCTCTCTCTGGAAAGTGACTAAAGACTAAGTGGCCCCTATCCGGTTTACTATTACTACATTTTTATTTTTGCTTATTTTGACTAGTATACAAGAACCCCAATATTCACCCACACCCATCTTTACTTTGCCTCAGCTTACCGTGTGTTTAGCTCAAGGTAATTTTGTGCCCAAAGTGAACTTAACAAGGTCTACACTCTCTTAGTCTCTAATGAAGACTGCAGTTTTGTATTCAGATTTTGAAGATTTTTGTATTATATAAATGGAGCCGCATCTTGGCATACGTAGGTACAGTTTACAGTGATATTCATGTAGAAGTGGACATAGGGATTTCCCTCGGGATTTCCTATAGGAATTTCCTATGTCTACTTTTACATGATAAAAAGTCTCCTGAAAGACGCCTAATTTTATGCAACCAAAATAACTTCTTGAAACAAATAAAGATCTGGCTGTCATATTAATTATTAATTTGAATATTGTTGCTTTAGCTTCACAGAAAATAAATCTCTTAAGCTCCTTGAACTGTTATCGGCACTATACCAATTGGAAATATCAACTTTTTCTTTAGTTGAATACTTACATCGCACACGAACCGAAATAAGAATAGGGAAGTCAAAGCGATCCTCTTTTGTTGTAGGTAGTTAGGTTGCATAAAATTAGGCGTCTTTCAGAAGATTTTTTATCATGTAAAAGTAGACATAGGAAATCCCTATGTCTACTTCTACATGAATATCACTGTATATGCTAGAAATGAAGGACGATATTTAAAATCCATGAGCATGAATTCAGTGTCATTCCTGTAAAGTATTGGCAATGACTGTATACTACGTATACGCATGCTAAATTAAACGACTGGGCAGAAATATTAACGTCGAAGAAATTTGAGAGAATTCGGACGAATCCATTCGGCCGAAATCGTTCGTATGAATACAGGCCTTAAAAAATACGACATACAATGCAGGCAACTGATATTGTATCGGGGGGTCAGCATGGGGTATCCTGTTGCACCGTCGACGTCGATGCTTTCCGTTATCGGTACCTCAACACAGGCGTGTATATCACGGATTTTGGTTTTCCTTAAAACGGAATGGCGAAAAAACCCATTCCCAACAAGGCCAGGTAGAATTAGTGTGGCATACGTACCTTAAATGGAATCTACCAAACGATTCAAATGACCCCTTATCAAGCGCCAGTTGAATCTTTCGACAATCACGGAGGACGATCACAATTGCCTTTGAGTCACGTCTATCCACCAAATGCACAAACCCAAAATGTGAATGCAGTATTATGTAACGTGAAATCCGCTGGTCTGGTGAGAATTTAATAATGGGCTACTGGAAAATAAACGAAAAAGAAATTCTGGTATCTGGTCGGGAATATATAGGAATAAATCGGTTCTGGAACGAACCTCCAGAATGAATTTCTGGTCGGTTAGTGACCTCTGGTAAAGAATAAAAGGGATTTGATTTCAGTGGATGGGGATAACAGCAGGCGACATCTAACATACGGACTGGATAGCACTTATTGACAGCGGAACTGCACAAGTGCACACTTGCGCGGAAGAGGTCGACAGCACAAGAATACACAACTCGAGAGGCTGAGAGAAGAAATTAATATAGAGAAATCAAGAAAAATAGCATAATACGGATTAGAAAACCAAGAAGAGGAGAGTGAGCTGCAACCATAAAAAAAATAAGAGTGGTCATAAGGGACATGGGAATAAAAATTGAAATGGAAAAAGAAACAGTAGAAACAAGAAGGTTGGGTAAATACCGTACAGGAAAAACCAGACCCGTACAAGTGGAATTTGGAAAAGAGAAAGATGGAGATATTGAAAGAAGACTGAGAGGAAAAAACATATACTTAGAGAAATACTACTCCAAAGCAGAAACAGAAGCAGAAGCGGAAGCGGAATGCAGAACCGGAATCGGAAGCAGAAGAAGAAGAAGAACAGAAGAAGAAGAAAAAAAAGAAATTATTAGAATTTGCTAAGTGGGTTTACGAACCTAGTAAATTTCGGAGTTTCATGTTACTTTGGGCACACCAAGTAGTAATTTGTAAAATAAAAATGTTAGAAAAGTAGATTGGGTGTTAAAATCTAATCGTTTGGACTTTGTTAATTTTTTTGAAGAATAACGTGATGGCACTTGCATTTATTCCGATTTTGTGAATGGATCTCCGATGCGAAAATTTAAAATTCCTACAATAGATTTTTCAGTTTTTTTTTCGGAAATTCACTTAGAAATTCCTACACTAGAAACCTTTTAGCATTCACCTCAATTTCTTTGGAAAAACGTTCGCATATTTGGACACGATTCAGGTTCAGATCATCACGTTACACAAACAGGAGATAAACTAATGTTCTGACCTAAATCCACTGATCCACTTGTAATGAACATGAGTCGATATTACCATTGCTAATTATTAGTCAATGATATTACCTATTATTGTTATGTAAGCTCCTAGCAAAAAATAGAAACATGATAAAGAAAATAATTTGTTGCACTTTACGTATGGAGTGGTCTTAACTATAATGCGATAACGTTGATAAACTGATTGAGTAGCGCTTTCAGATAGTACTTAACGTCACTACGTTACCTTCGAGTGGACAATACTTGCAACTTACGGCCACTTTAAATTTGAAATCCCATGGTATTGAACTTGTGAATGTGATTTGTGACGCGAGTGTACAATGGCGTTTGTAGTGAGCGTTTTTCTGACCCTATTTGTCATAGTTACAACTATTTACTTCAAATGGATGTATTCGTATTGGAAAAGAAGGAATGTTCCACAGTTACCGCCTAGTTTCCCCCTTGGAAATGTAGAAAACCCTTTCAATCGAAAATTTTCCCACGGTGAATGGTTTGCTTTGGTGTATAAAACGTTTAAAGAACGCGGTGCCAAACACGCAGGGATTTACTTTATTGCATCCCCGAACTACGTACCCATCGCACCAGAAGTAATAAAAAATATCATGCAGAAAGACTTCAGTCATTTTGTAGAGCGCGGATTATACTGTAATGAAACGGATGATCCTTTAAGTGGCAATTTGTTTCTCATCGGTGGTCAAAGATGGAGGAACCTGCGGACAAAGCTTACGCCGACGTTTACGTCGGGTAAGATGAAGATGATGTTTGAAACTTTGGTGGAATGCATCAATCCCATGGACGCAGCCATAACCTCATATTGCATCAGTAAGGAACCAGTTGATATAAAAGACACCTTGGCACGCTTTACTACTGATGTTATTGGATCGTGCGCGTTTGGGTTGGAGTGCAATAGCTTTAAAACTGCAGACGCTGCATTTCGCAACCATGGTCAAAGAATCTTTTCGCCAGAAACGAAAGTTAAAGCACTGATAGGATTGTTTGCACTGATATCACCGAAGTGGGCCAACAGATTGGGAGTATCGGTGTTTCCTAAGGAGAGTAGTTCCTTCTTCTTCAACGTTGTCAAGGACACCGTTAATTATAGGCGAGAGAGTGGTGTTCATCGCAAAGACATGTTACAAATTGTGATGGATCTTCAGGAAGCAGGAGTGGAATCATTAACAATAGAAGAAATAGCAGCTCAAGCTTTTGTCTTTTTCTTGGCGGGCTTCGAAACGTCTTCGACTACTATGACGTTTTGTCTTTACGAATTGGGGATAAATTCAGATCTACAAGAAAAGGTGAGGGAGGAAATTAATCGCGTTTTAGAACAGCACGACGGAAAACTCACTTACGAAGCAATAATGGACATGAAGTATATGACTCAAGTTATCGACGGTAAGATTAGACCAGCTTAAGGATTAGTGGTGATTTGGTTCATTCTTTTCCAGAGACCTTAAGAAAATATCCTCCTGGAACTCTGCTACCTCGAAAATGTGTCGATGATTACTTTGAACCGATTACTGGCGTGACTATTGAAAAAGGAACAAAAGTACTAATTCCGGTGTTGGGCTTACATATGGATCCCGAATACTTTCCGGACCCTGAAAAATTTGATCCTGACAGATTTTCGGAAGAAAACAAGCGCAACATTGTTCCCTTCACTTACATGCCGTTTGGTGAGGGTCCCCGCATATGTATTGGTAAAGAAAAGAAACAGGTGTAATGCTAGAGGTTTTCACGCTTTTTGGTTTAAGGCATGAGATTTGGAATGATGCAGATAAAGGTCGGCCTAACCCACTTGCTAAAACATTATTCGTTCGCTGTTAGTTCGAAGACGAATATACCTTTGACCTGGGACAAATACAGCTTTATAATATCCACAGAAGATCCAATATGGTTAGATGTTAGGAAGCTTTGATTATTGTATTCAGCGTTGAAAGAGTACGATTTCGTTATAAAATTTCAAAAAAAAAGTACAGGGTTTTTAGCATGACTTTCTTCTAAAAATGGTGCGGTTTTTCAGTGTAGTTTGCGAGACTACAAACTGACAGTTGGCACCAGCCCGACTACAAAAAAATTCTAATCGTGGATTTGGTTAAAATGCAACTGCACACATGTGACCAGTCACATAGATACAACTTGTCGCAAGTTTAAACTCTGACCGCATTTTTGGCGCTTTCGTCATTTTCTACTACTATACCTATAGATGATTAAAAAAATGACGTGAATTTCGATTTTCCTGATACTGAGACCCCAATACGTCATCAGGACAAGTCTCTTGAGGTGTTCTAGAAATTACAGCACTAGTTTAGAGCCGCCTAAATAAAAGCGTCTAATAACTTTGAAGAGACCTTATTTAATTAAATACTTCTGGAACAGCAAAATCAATTTAGGCACTTATTAAATGACTTAATTAAATTTAGGAGGTCTGTGAAGTTAGCATTGGCGGCACAAATTTCGAGACTAGGTGGATTGGTATTAGTGCCACATTTGTGCCGGTTTCTGCCGTAAAAAGTTTGCCAGCAAAACATACCGTTTGGAAATTATTTCGATCTTTAGAGGTTCTGCTAATAGGCCAGTCATTGAGGATTTTTACCTGGAAATATCTCGGGAAGTACTGAAATTTTGTATGCTTGAGTGCGTAGAACTAAAATTTATAAAATGCACAATTCGAAACTTGCCACCGTCGCCGCCATCTTGCCAAGATGGCCGCCAAAAGCGGTTTCCGCAGATATCTCCAAAAATGTGCATTTTTCGAGAAAATATGTAAAGAAGAAAATTTCACAGTAGCTTGAAAGGAAAATTTCTTTCTCCATTAATAATAAAATACCGCCTTCAAGTTATTGTTTTATAGACTAAAATCTCTAAAATAAATTACTAGCATGGAAAGTTCACGGTCTCGGTAAATAAATAAATAACTATCGTCCTGAAACATTCATTTTCATGCCTATTTTCTGTCAGGAAACTTTAGTTTCCAT